GGGCACATATGTACACGTGCCCGCTGTGAGTTTAAGCCACCGGGTCTGGGACTCAAACCATGGTCGTTTACATGGGAGTCCAGCAACACAGCCATTACGCCAACTGCTGGTCCCAGGAGAAATGTATGGCTTTTAAAAAAATTATTTTAGGGACTGTCAGGTGGCATGGTGGTTAAGTGCTGGATTCCCACATGGCCAACCACGGTTTGAGTCCCAGACCTGGAGGCTTGCTTTCTCACTTTCCTTCTATCTCTCTCTCTCCCTCTTTCTCTCTCTGGTCAAATTAAAAAACAATAAATAAATAAATAAATAAATAAATTACATCATTTTAAAATTTACTTTATTTATGATGGAGAGTGCATGGAAGAATAGGAGCTGAGAATGGTGGTGGGGAGAGAGGCACTTGGACAGGGTCTCTTCACTGCATGATTCCTTTTTCCTGGCTCTGCAGCGTATCAAGATCTTGGGCACACAGAAGCATCCAGCATGTTTTCAAGCCAAGCCAAGTATCTGAACCCACAGTCGGACAAGTGCCTTCCAGCACAGCAATTCATTTTGCTACTGACTGTACCACCAGGCTGGGCCATGGTCTTTTTTGTTAACTGAGCTCAGACAGGGCTTTATGAAGATGTACTTCTTGTTTGTTTCACAACCAGATGAAAGAAGTCACTGGATTTTTTTAGTCCATTAGTCTCCCATTGGAGAGGTCTCAGAAGAAAAAATGTCCATACTACCTTCCTTTTCTTGAGAGAGAGATTTGAACAGAGATAGACAGAAAGAGAGAAATCACCCCCAGGGAGCGGGGGCGGGGGGGTGCTGGCCACACAGCAATCCCTACTCCTCTGTTCTCCTCTCAGGATTTTGGGTACTCATGCACATGCACCCAGCATGAGTTTCAAGCTGCTGGGTCCGGAACTTGAACCATGGTCGACCATGTGGGAGCCCAGCACCTTAACTGCTATGCCATCTGCTGGCCCCACACCATCTTCTATTGTGCTCTATGCATCTGGAATCACACCAGAAATTTCTTGGGAAGAAATCCTCAGCAGCTTATTCCCAATAATAGTTCTAGAGATAGGGCTTTACTTACAGCCTGACATGGCACCTTGGTCACTTCTCAACCAGGCAGTACTGTGAGATCTCAGGACTGAGACCCTGTAGGCCCCAGAGGGAGAAAGACAGACTTGGGCGCCTCTAGGAGGGAACAATCTGGCAGTTCATTGCAGCAGCCCCAGCGCCGGGCCTGCTACAAGGTCAGTGCATAACAGATACAGTTGAAGAGATGAATGAATGACTGAATGAATGGGTCAGGGACAGAGCCAGCCAGCAGAGAGGAATGCTACAGAGGGGGCTCATGCTTTGAAGAGAGCTGGCTAGAGGCCACCTAACCCTGAGCTCTGCTCCACCCCCAGAGCCCCTCCTTATCTCACTGGTTGTCTCACTGTAGAAACAATAGCCAAACTGGCCCAGCGATGATGTGGTCTGATAAATCTACCTGCAAATCAGCTTTGGAAGGTTACAGATGTTGAGGGTCAAAAACGCTCATATGCAGCAAACCCATTGCCCAGGGTCCACCTGAGAGAAACTCTAACATATGCACAGAGGCAGATGGACATGAAGGTGCTCACCATAGCGCTGTCCTGAGACGAAATTCAGCAACAACGTACGGGTCTCTCAGGAGGGGAGCCAATAAATAAACTGGGCTTTGTGCACATGCTAGAACACCACAGGACAGTTCAAACAGATCTATTTATATCTAGATCTAAGAGCAGTAACTGTGCTACTTGTATGAACCAGAAGTCTCGAAAACAGAAGCAGCTTACACTATCATTCTATTTATGTAAAATTTAAAAATACATATAGCGAGGGTGTATTCTTTACGGCTAACCGCATATGCAGGCAAGATTGGCAAGCATTCCAGGGAATGAAATAATCGGTTTCTAGTGAGTGTCACCTGTGGGGAAGGAAAGCAGCAGAAATAAGGAGGGATAGAGGTGTTAGCAACATTGTACTTTTTTGGTTGTTGTTGTTAACTTTTTGGTATAGGGGCCATGTACTTCCTGGAGAGAGACAGAGAAGGAAAATGAGAAATCACCCCTTGAGGCAATGGCCAACCCCCAATCCCTTCCCCCTCATTTTCCTCTCAGGATTTTGGGCATGCACACACACACACACACACACACACATACACACACACATGCCTATTTTGTCTGTTTGGCTGGTTTAAAAAATATATATATATATATATATTATTTAACTTCATTTCTTTCTTTATTTATTTGACCAGAGAGGGACAGAGTGAAAGAGAGAGAGAGAGAGAATGAGAGGGAACATGAAAAAGCAAACCACCAGGTATAGGACTTGAACCACAGCCGGTCATGTGGGAGTCTAGTGTGTTTAACCATCATGCCACCTGCCGATCCCATACCTGGAATGTTTTTCAAGCCACTGGGTCCGGGACTCCAACTATGGAGTTGGCCATGTGGGATCCAGCACTTTAACTACCATGCCACCTGCTGGCCCCATATCATACTTTGTGCGTCTTAAAAAGAGAACAAGAGGCAATGCAAATATGGCCAGTATTAACACTGAGAGACAGCTACTCTGGGGTTGTTTATGCTATTTTCTACACTCTTTTGTATTTATTCATTCAACAAATATCCAGTGAGCACCTGCTACCTGCCAAGTACTGTTTTAGGCCCTGGAGACACAGCAGTGACCCACACAGAGCTTCCTGCCCTCAGGGAGCTCACATTCTCTGTTTGAACCATGCATCATTCCCTGACTTTGTTTTTAATCATTGATTATAATCCTCAATCATTGAACTGTAGAGCAACCTGCCTTTCTCCAGTCCACTTCAATCTGCTCAATCTTCTCTTCCCCTTCTTCCCATTAGTCACATTCTCGGACCTACCATCTTCCTTTGCAAAGGCCTCTCCAGGTCTTCAACGATGCTAATGTGACAGACTGAGTCCCAGGGACACAGCACAGCATCCCCTACAGCAGCTCTCTCCCTCTAATAGGGCCTGTGACACAGAGTCCCCACTCCTGCCCTGTAGAAAACCCACCACCTGCCTGCCCACCTTCTCCCTCTCCACCTTCACTGCCATTGCTGACTTTGTGGGCACCCCCACAGCCATTCATAGGAGACCATGAGAACTGCTCATCCTCTCCCCATCCCAAAGCCTGCCATGGCCCGTGTGCACATTCACTCCACATCTGAGCCTCCCATTCCTGGACCTCTTTAATACCCATGACCTGCCCACCCACTGCCCCAAACTGTCCTCTTTGGAAGTCCTTCCCCTCCTCCCTCCCTCTGGCCATGGTCTTCTGTCATCTAAACACCTTCCACCACCCCCAAACACTGGCCCCCAGCATGCTCCCAGGCTTGGCCTGAATTCTCTCCCTGCCTCTGCTCCTCCCAGCCTGGGCTCCAGGGGTCAGGCTCTGAGCCACTGTTGCCAGCACCTTCACAGTTCCCCTCTGCTGGCCTCCAAAGCCAGGGTCCAGCACACGCCCTGGACCAAACCACTCTTCTTTCTCTTCAGCTCTTGATGAACCACTCCCACCCTGGGAAACCAGGCACCTGACCTGGACAGGTGGGGCCTTGTCTATCCAATTCCCTCTCTCCTTTAGCAGCTAGTCACACCTGCACTTCTGAATCTCCCTTCCCAACCCCTGAACGCTAGTACCCAAGAGAGGGTTGCTCCCCCACTACTGGAAATCAGGCAGTTAGGCCATTATCCCTGATTTCCCACGATTCCCATCCTGGTCTCCAACACAGCATGAGGGCTGACCTCAGCTCACCTCCTTCCTCCCCTCCCATGCTT